TATAAGCAAATCAAACAATTATAAGGATTGGGAATAGAAAAATTATAATTTAAAATGATATTCATAAGAATAAAATATGTAATATATTCAATCGCGTATGTTTAATCAAAGCATTACTTTATCATAAAACGCTTTATCCATTAATGATAATTTTAAATGATTTTTCTTTGAGAGAAAAAATACAAGAGAAACTTGAACAGACACTTTCACTTTGACACTTATGACTATGGCAATCACATTATCGCGTTTAATTTTTTTATTTTTTACACTATTAATACAAATCTACTATATAAATTTTATAAAATATTTTTAATAAAATAATAAATTAAAATTTTAATTGATTAATTGGTTAATTGATTTAAATAAATAATTTTTTGAATCACAATGTAATAAAATACAAAACTATAAATAAAATTACACTCACTTTATAAAAAAATATTCAATATTTCATCTAATAAATATTATATAAATTAAATCTTTTTTTTACTAATTTTTTTAATTAATGAAATATAATTCAAAATATGGAATGAAACATCCGCCTCGCAAAATTGCTGGCGGTCAACTGAACGTTTTAAAACATACTACGCACATAAGTAATATCAGAACTTATCTTAAGATATCATACGATTCTACCACTTTTTTTTACAGTTAATCATATTAATCTATTTTCTTTTTTTTTCTTTTTTTTAGTCATAAGTATACTTTAAAACTTGAAGATTATAATATAGAATATTCTCTAACATTATATAATCATAGTGACAAACTTTTTCATCTTTCTTATTTAAAATTAAATTTATTCAATTATTTTTTAGATTGAACAAAAAATTAATATGTATAATTTATTTAAAACTTTAGGAAATAATAAATATGAAATAAGTTTTATATATTATAAGTATTAATATATAATATTTTTAATTTTAATTTCTATAATTTTTTTCAATTTCTATTAATCTTTTTTCTTTTATGACATTTATTCATATTTGAACATGTTATATGTATGAAAGTCATATGTTATATTTATATGTAGTTATTATAAAAATTTGTTAACATATATAATAAAATATTCATTGAGGCATATATAATACATATATAATAAAATATTCAATTTTAATTTATACTTCTATTTAAATTATAATATCCAAGTTTTAAGAATCATGCGAGAATTAATTATTCATCACGTGACGTAACATGATCAGTAGTTACCACGTGAACAGATAACAAAGGTTTTTAAACTCTTAATTATGTAATTTACGTACGATTTTATCGTTCAAAAAATGACCATACTTGAAAAAATTTGAATTTGGGTAATAAATAATATAGAAAAAATTAAACATAATTTACATTAATAAATTATAATATGACAATAATATTTTCTATCAACGACTTTCATTTATTAAATATATTATTAAATATATTTATATATTGATTATAACATATTATTTAGTAAATTTTTAAATAATTTTATTATAAGATACAAGAACTAAAGACAATAAAATAAAATATAATGAGGACAATAAAAATAGGCAATGACAAAAAGCAAATTGTTTTAATTTCATTAAATACAATTAATAAGAAAATTTTTTAATCGTAAATTTATTTTAAAAATATCAAATTTTTATTGTTCATTATTTTATAATTATGAATTAATAAATTATATTAATTATTTATGAAAATAAAACTTTTATTTCATAATATTTTATCTTTTTTATTTGATAATATAAATATCTTCATTATTATTTAAAAAATTTAATACGATAATAAAACTTTTTTATAATTTATTTGTAAATGTAAAAAATAGATTAGAAAATAAAAATTAATAATAATTTCATGGAAGATTTTTGCTCATTTTTTTGTAATGATTATTTTCAATGAATTATATTGCAATCTTAATAATTTTTAATATATTTATGTGAAGATTTAAAAATAAATAACAATTCTTTAAAAAAAACAAAATTAAAAAATATAAAAATTAATATATAAAATATTACAAATAAAAATATTTTTATTATAATAATTATGTTGAAATTATTTAAAACAATAATTAAAAATAATAATTTAAAATAATAAAAACAATTATTGATTCGTTATATTTCTAAATTTATTGCTTAGTTTCTTTAATAAATTTATACTATTTTTTTTTTAAATATAATATAGATTATTGTAATAAAATTAATAGGATTTTTTTATTATTACATATTATATATATTATAATGAATTATAAAATTATTATATATATCTTATTTTTAAAATAATAATCTTCTGAAAAAAGAAGAAAAACTGATTTCTTAGAAAAAGAAAAAGATGGATGAAGAAATTGTACTTAAAATTTTCGAAAAATTGTATTAATATTATGTATTATGTATAAATGTATTAATATTTAGCTGAAATATAAATTGTATTACAAATTAATATTGTTTTAAATAATTTTATTAATGTTATATTAAAATTTAAAAACTATTTTATCTTTGAAATTATAAAAGCAAAGGTTATGTATATTAAGGAGATCTTTTTAAGATAAAATTTATATTATTAAATCGATATATACTTAAAAAAAAGAATTAAAGATTAATGTCATTATTTTTAATTATTATGTTAATTGCATAATGAAATATTCTAATTCTATAATTATTATTTTTAAATTTATATTAAAAATATTTTCTTTAGAAGGTTTCTTTCACATAAGGTTAGTTCATCATTATAAAAATTTTCAAAATTTATGTGAAAATAAAGAAATATTACTTACAATTCACAATTTGTACGCACAGATTTAATAATGTAGGATATTTTAACGAGCTTCACTATTTGAAAGACCGATGAAAGACATGTACTTAAAATACAGACTTATGAAAAAACTACTTTACATCGTTAACATCGTCGACATTATCGGTGTGAACTGTGGTTCAAAGTTATTGACGCATTTTCATGATTTAAATTGTCTCGTTTTTATTTGTATCAATTATTTTTTTGATTAATAAATAGAATAGAAATTTTATTTTGCAATTAGTTTATAATGAAAAATGTTATTAACATCATATCAATATGATATTAATATCAATATAATAATTATAACATTACCGGATCATCATGACGTATTGTGACGTAGCGATTACGTCATATCGTATGATTCTTACACCGTTACTTATTTGCATGTAAAATTTAGATAGCAAATATTAGGATTAAATTTAACGTATAATATAATTTGTTGCATAAACTTTTAAAAATTCTAACAGAAAATACAAAATATTAAAATATTTAAATTTGTTAAAATAATGTACAACACAAATATATATGTATATGTGTGCGTGTGTATATATATATATATATATATGTAAAAACAATATTTATTTCAATCGAATATTAAAAAATTTTCATCTAATATAATAATTAAAAAAAAAAATAAATATTATTATAAAAATGTATATAATTATAAAAATTCTTATAATACAGGATTTATTGTAATATTGTAATATTATTTCTTGACATTATTTAATTTAGGAATTTATTATTTAATATGATTAATATATATATAGATAATATTAAAAAAATATGGAAATATCGATTAATTGGAAATTTTTTGAAATAATTTCAAAAAACATTTTTCTTTACAAAAACTTTTACAGTTTTGTTAAGGAATTATTAATAAAAATTAATAGCCAATAATCAATTGTGGAGCACATGAGCACAGACTAGTTAAATTTTTTATATTGCGATGATAATGTTAGATATATATCGTTAATTGAATACGAACAAATCCAAACATATTCGAAGAAAATTTATTGAATACAATAACATATTTTTTTATCGAAAAAAAATTATATTGAATTATTGAAGAATAATAAATAAACTAATTAATTGTTATTCATATAGAATCTTACTTCTTCTTTTGTCGAAGAGATTTTCATTCCTTTTTTTATCATTTTTCTTTGCACTTCTTTTATTTTCATCTCTCTTATTTCTTTATTTATTCTTTTTCTAATTACCAAAAAAGGAGGCAGAATTGAAAAAATAAAAAAAACAAGAAAAAATTAATAAAAAATAGGAGGAAGAGAAATCGATAAAAAAAGAAGAAAGAAGTGAGGTTGAAATGGAGAAATTGATAGAGGATGTAAGAAGGAATTGATAAAAGAAAGAGGAAAAATTGATAAAAGAAGGAAACAAATTTGATAAGGAAAAAAAAAAAGAAAAGATAAAAGAAAAACAAAGGAGAATGATAAAAAAGTAAGAATGAAGATAATAAAGAAATATAATAAAAAAGAATAGAAGATGAAGATAACAAAGAAAGTGGAAGGATAAGAACAAAAAAAAGGGGAGAATGGTGAAAGAATAATAAAAGGAAAGACAAAATGATAAAAGAGAGATAAAATCATAAGATTGATAAAGAAGAGACAGAATGAAAATAAGGAAAATAAGGAAGTTGAGAGGAAGATAAAGTTTATTACATGAAGATGATAAAGAAGTAAAATTCTAATACAAATAATAAATAATTATTTATTCATTGTTCTTAAATAAGAAATAATTCAATATAATTTTTTTTCAATAAAAAAATATTTGTTATATTCAGGATTTTCTTTGAAGATATTTTTTGGATTTGTTCGTATTTAATTGGTGACATGTATCTAATACTACTATTGTGGCTTAATTAATTTACAAGTTTTATAATTAGTATTTTTATATATATTCCTTAACAGTATTAGTATTTTTTTATATATTCCTTAATAAACTACTTAACAAAGTAATGAAAGTTTTTGCAAAAAAATTGTTACATATTATTTTATATAAAATATATATAATATATTATTATAAATATATATAATATATAATATAAATATATATAAATATATATAATATATTAATATATAATTCAGGAAAAATAAAAATATTCAATATAATTAGATATTCGAAATTATTTCAATCAAAAAATTCGGGATTAACTTAATCAAAACTAATTTTATTAAAACACTATCATTAATATTAATTTTAAATAAAAATAACAAAGTTTGTTCAGATATTGATAGTAATTAGATACAATTATTATTTTTTAAAAATTATAGTATTTACATATTTAAAATGTATATAAATCTTATATTTTAAAAATTTTTACTTTCATATTTTATAAATTTTTTATTTTTCTTTTTAAATATGAAGCATTTCAAATAAAATGATATGTTGAAATAATGCAATGTTTGCACTTGTTTTGTTTAAAATTTTCATTTTGTTATTATTATTTTATGTATTATTGCATTTTTTAAAGTTTAAGTTTATAAACTTTAAGTTTATAAACATTTTGCATTATTATATATATAATATATATATAATAATATATAAAATTATCTGTACATAAATGTTTAAATAAATATTGAAAATATTCTTTTTTGTATAATCATACTTTGTTTTCTAATTTTGAGATAATATCATGTACTTTTTCTATAACACTATATATATAAGGACGTTCCATAGGATTTACTTTTAACATCAATAAAATCAAATTTTGTATATCCTATAAAATAAATAATAATTCTTAAATTTCATTAAATTTTTTAAACTGTAAATTCAAATATATTTTTGGTACATATATATAATGGAAAAATGCATGAAAAAATCCATATAAATATTAAGCATTATTAATTTATAATTATACCTCAGTATATGGAGCATCTTCTGGAAAAATAATGTTTGCACTCATTACAGCTAAAGCAACACTGTCTCCTCTTTCATATACTGTATCAAATGGTGATTTAAAGTAACACAGTGCATAAAGAATACATCCTAAAGACTAAAGAAATATATATAAAATTTTAATAATTACAGATATAATTATTATAACATTAACAAGAAATTAATTTTACCCAAATATCTGTCCGCTCATCTACCATACAATAACTTTCAACATTAAATAATTCTGGTGCTCTATATGGCATTGAACATCTTTCAGCTGCTAAATCCTGTAAAGTTTGTGCTGCTTGTGAACCACATATTTTAATTCTAGCTGGTGCTACAGAACCTATTGTATAAATTCAATTTTCATTTAATTAATATTAATTAAATATTATTTATTGCTTATATTAATATATATTATACCTAAATCCATTATAATGGGTGTACTTCCATCATCAAGAAGTATATTTGCAGTCTTTAAATCTCTATGAGCAAGAGGTTCTGGTTTAGCTTCATGAAATGCTTTTACACCTTCACATATTTGTAAAAAAATATTTAAAATATCTAGAGCACCCATGTGATTCTTATTTTTAGCACGTCTCTCTAATTCATTTGCAAGTGTACCTCTCTAGAATGATACAAAATTTTATTGTTATATTTATATTTTGTTTCATTGAAAATCATAACATTTATAAACATATTATAGAAATTTTTATAGAAATATATATATAGAATTATAGAAATATAACACAAAGAAATATAACTTACATGATAATATGGTAAAATAATCAATACTTCACTAGTTGCATTAATAATAGGATCTATTGTCCCTTTATATGTTGAATCAATACATTCTATAACGTTTGGATGTTTTACAAGATTATAATATTCTATTTCTTTTGCTGCTAATCTCTGATCCTCTAATCCATGACAGATGATCTTTTTAATGGCATATTTCTTATGAGTTATTGTATCTTCCACTAGAAGGACAATGCTAAATCCACTAAAATTGCATTAAAATTAAATTTAATAAATATTTCATTGATTTATATATAAATTTAAATGTAACTTATAATTACAATAAAAAATAATTATTGATTTCAATATGTTAGATTAGATTATATAGAATAGGTTAAATTAATAATAAGATTACAACAAAATTTATGCCTACATTAATGAGATCGGATATAGTATAATAATATATGAAAAAGAACATTAATTTATATAAAATTAAGATGATGACTTTTTAAAATAATTTATACAATTTTGTTTTATTATTTGTTAAACTTGCCCTTCTCCAAGATGTTCACGAACTGTATAATTTCTTGAATTTACTGTAATTGTTTCCTTGGAGCATATGCAGCCCATTTTTAGAATTAAACTTAAACCAAGACTATTCATTTTTAATTAAGCATAATAAAAAAAATATAACAATCCACCTGACGTCTTTTTATTTACCCACAAACATCTTGAATCTTGATACACGTCATATGCGTTACCATTGAGACTAGTCTGCAGTTTAAGTTAGGTAATCGTCAGTTGTTTACAAATAATTTTATATTTTTTAAATTTATAGAGTAATAGAGTAATAAATTCATAAATTAATTCATAAAAAATTTACAAATGAAAGAGTGATGTAAATTTTATAATATTATATCATTTGAAATTACTTTTACATATAAATTTAATAAAAAAATTGTAAAGTACAATTAATTTTTCTACTATAGAAAATAATTCGAAATGAGCATATTGTATTCATAATTTTCAATATGGTTAATGGAGAAGAAATTAAAATTACTTTCAAAGTAATTTTTTGTCTCTTTTGATGGATAAATTTTATAAGAAATTTATGAAATTTTAATATTTTATTAGATAATTAATTTAAAAAAGTTTATATATATATATATATTTAAAATTCAATATTAAAATAATGTCTTTTTTAATTGTTTATATTATTAGGTAGTGTATGCTTTATTATGGATGTTTTTTACAAGTTATTATTTTTGGGGTGCAAATGAAGTAACTGTAACAGCTCCCATTGATGAATCTGGTTGGGTATCAGATGGAGCATTTGCAAGCACAATTCCTGCTCCAGCTGAACAAGTAGAAGAAAGTTAATATTATATTATAAACATTGTATAAAAAAATTATAACTATTAAATTTTAATTATTTATTTTTGATATAATAAATGATATTATACAATTATAAATAGTTGATTAAAAACTTTTACTTAAAATTAAATATAGAATTTATAAGTCAAATAACATAGACATTAATTTATATTTTATTTATTATCTTTAAAAGTAAAATTTCTTTTATTTTATCTCAGGAACACTTATCTAAAATATACATTTTATCAATAATATATTATTAATAATATCTCTTTATCTAATAAATATATATCATATATATATACTATATATATATATATATAGTAAATTCTATTCTATCACATTTTGTATAAATTTAAAATAGATGAAATGATGAAAGACTGAATTGAAATGATTATTCAAATTTATAACAATATTTTAATAAATTATTCAAATGATTTTACTTAAATGATTTTATACAAATAACTTCATCATAAACAGGTACATGTATATTTTAAATCAATAAATTTAACAAATGAGTCATATGTAATTAAGATTTTGTTGCTTCATTTTCCTGAACATCGTTTGAAACTTTTGTTGTTTCTTGATCATTTTGCAATTGTGCTTGCCACATGGAATAGTACATTCCATTATAAGAAATTAGTTCTTCGTGTTTTCCTCTTTCTATGATTTCTCCATCTTTTAAAACAAGTATTTCATCGGCGTGTATTATTGTGGATAATCTGTGTGCTATGATAATAGTTGTTCGATTTACACAAACTCTACTTAAAGCTGCTTGAATGTTGCGTTCTGTTTGTGTATCGAGTGCACTTGTTGCTTCATCTAAAAGTACAATCGCTGGTTCCTTCAATATTGTTCGTGCAATAGCAACACGTTGTTTTTCTCCACCACTTAAACGAAGACCTCTTTCACCAACCTATATATAATCAAATAGAATAAATATAATGAAGAATCAGAAGATTAAAAACAATTTCATTATTGAATCTTCACCTGTGTTTCATAACCATTTGGAAATGAAAGAATTCTTTCGTGAATATCGGCATTTCTAGCCGCTGATATTATATCTGCATCTATAGCTTCGATGCGACCATATTGAATATTATATTTTATTGTATTATTAAATAATACTGTATCTTGAGGTACTACACCTATAGATCGTCTTAAAGAATCTTGAGTAACAGTTTTAATATTTTGACCATCGATTAAAATTGCACCTTGTTCTACATCATAAAACCTAAATAATAATCGTACAATAGTAGATTTTCCAGATCCAGATGGTCCAACCAATGCAACAGTTTTTCCTGCCGGTACAATGAAACTAATATTTTTTAATATAATTTTCTCGGATGTATAACTAAATGTCACATTTGCAAATTCTACTTGACCACGTTTTATTATTAATGGACCAGCGCCTGGAGCATTGATAACTTCTTGTTCTTCTCTTAAAAGATCAAACATATTTTCCATGTCAACAAAATTTTTTTGTATAGCACTGTAAAAATAAAAAAATATTTATATTTATAAATAAAATTACTTTTAAATAAAATAAATGATATAATAATATAATAATTAGAATAAATAATAATAATAAAATTTATAATATTATTTGAATAAATTCTTACCGATAATATGTTCCAAACCAATTTAATGGCACATAAAGTTGAATAATATAACTTGCAAATAAAACATAATCACCAATGGTTAAACCTTGCTTGGTTACAACCTATAATCAATTATATATATTATATATACAATTGTTAAATATTAAAAAATAAAAATTTTGTTTTAATTTTATTAGAACTAACCATATGTAAACAAAGTAAAGAACCAGTAAGTAAACCACTACAAACAATTATGTTTTGTAAAGTATTTAAAATATTTAATGTTATCATTGACTTCCATTCTGCAATTTGGAATTCCAATATTGCTTTCCTATAACTATCAACTTCATATGATTCTGCTCCATAATATTTAACCGTTTCAAAATTAAGTAAACTATCAACACTTCGTGCTTTTTGAGCATTATCTGCTAAATTCATACGTCTCTGGAACTTAGTACGCCATTCAGTAACCATAATTGTAGCAGCTAATACAAATAAAAATTATATATAAATATTAAAATTGAATAGAAAAAAAATTTGTTATGATTTTAATATCAAAAAGAATTAATTATAATATTTACCTATATAAAGACTCATAGTTAGAAATACAATTAAACCAAACCATTTATTAAAAGCAACAATAAAAAATGCAACAGCTACAATAATATCAATTATTGTTGGAACAATTGAAAACAAAATATAATTGAGAAGATTGTTTACAGAATCTGTACCACGATCCATAACTTTTAAGACTTCTCCAGTTTTTCTCCCAAGATGCCAACGTAAACTTAAACTATGTAAGTGTCTGAAAATGTGTAAAAAATATGTAATTTGTAAAAAGAAAATTTAAATATTATTATATATTTAAATATTTAAATATTTAAATAAAACTTGAAATTTAAGTTTTATGAAAATAAAAAATAGAAAAATATAGTTTACCTAAATAATTCTACTTCTATTTCACGAGTTGTATACTGTTGTATGCGGATCCATAGAAATGATCTAAGATTATTTAATAATCCCATACCACCTGTACCACCACCTTGCAAGAATTTAAATGCTACATATATTAATATAAAATCCCACCTATTATAAAAATTAAATATATTATACAATAATATTTTTTTTTCTCTTTTTTTTTTTTATTATTTTAATAAAAGTTTTATATACCTAAATAACTCAGGAGTTTCAGAAATACTATCTACAATTTTTTTATTGTAAATTGGAACATATAAATTAATTAAACGTCCTGATATAAGTAATCCAAAGCAAAAAATAACACGTAATTGAAGTATAAGAGGTTTTGGCCATAAAAATGGTGTTAAAATTTTTATCTTATGCCACACATTTTTCCATGTAGAGCTAGTATCCTCAGATCGCTAAAGATATTATATTATATTAAAATATAATTTTATATAATAAAATAAAATTTAATTAATAAATCAATAAAAATGAATTTTTTATTTTTCAAATTATTTATATATTAATATAAAAAATTTTTCTTTTCTATAATTTACTTATTTTAGCAATAATTATAAGATCTTTTTTCAATTAAAAAATATTCAAATTATAATAATGTTATATTTCAATAACTTACACCTTGATAATATCTCGACTGTAAAGCTGGACCATTATTTAGAGTATGATATTCAGGATCTGTATTACCAATTATTCCTGGAGCTTTGAGGCCTAAAGCAAAAATGATAAGATTGCTGACATAACGTAGAATGAATAGTGCCATTTCAATCTGATCTGTTAATCTGTAAATAGCATATATATATATATATATATATATATATAAAAGATATTCCAAATGCTGTAAATACAT